TAAAAAAAAAAAAAAAAAAAAGAGGAGACAGGGAAGGAGAGAAATTATGCAGACAATAAAGGAGACAAATAGGAGACATATACGCAGACACATACAAGGGGAAGGGAGGGAAGCAGGGAGGGAGGGAGGAAAAAAGAGACAAAAGGAGACAAAAAGGAGACAAAAAGGAGACAAAAAGGAGACCCTTATTGTGTGTGTGTTTGTGTATGTGTTGCTAGTTACGACGGACAAAGGAAAGTGTCTCCTTTTTATCCATTAATAAACAACAAACAGTAAGTGCTGCTATTGTTGTTGTTGTTGCTGTTGCTGCTGCTGCTGCTGCTGCTGCTGCTGCTGCTGCTGCTGCTGCTTCTGTTGATGCTTCTGCTGCTTTTGTTTTTGCTGCTGTTGTTGCTGCAGCTAGGGAGATCCGCAACTGCTGGAGGCGTTGCTGCGAGGGCTGTTCCTGCTGCTGCTGCTGCTGCAGGAACAGGAGCAGCAGCAGCAGCAGCAGGGGCGGAGACAACTGGTGCTGGTACTGCTGCTGGTGCCCCTAATATGCATGTGTTGCCTCGTATAGGGCAGCAGGGATTAAGTGTCCCTTTAGTGCATGCAGGGGGACAATTAAAGGGAGACAGCAGCATGCCAGGAATAACAAGGAGACAATCAGCAGCAGCAGCAACAACAGCAGGATGGAGACGAGGATTTCCTTATAATAATTTGCTGCTGCGCAGCAGCAGCAGCAGCAGCGTGCGCTACAACTTGAGGGTCTTAGGGTCTCTTGAGCTATCTGGGGCCCCACAGCGACTGCCTTCGCATGCAGCAGCAGCAGCAGCTCCTGGTGCTGCTGGGGAGCAACAGCAGCAGCAACAGCAGCAGCAGTGGCACTGCATGCGCCTGCTTCGCTCACAGAGCAGCTACAGCGCCACAGAGAATGCAGTCCCTCAGGTGTCTCCGCAGCAAAAGGAGGCAGCAGCAGCAGCAGCAGCAGGCATGCTCCCTACAAGGAGACTGTCTCTCTTTGAGGAAATTGCTGCTACTGGTGCAATGTCTCCTGTTAGGCGCAACTCTGCAGCAGCGAAGCAGCAGCAACAGCAGCAGCAGCAGCAACAGCAGCAGAAACAAGAACAGCCACAACAGCAACAACAACAACAACAGCAGCAGCAGCAGCAGCAGGAGGGGGAGGACACAGCAGTATTAAAGAAAGGGACACTGCAGCAGCTGCTGCAGATAGTAGCTAAATCAACTGTCTCCTTTGATGAATTAAAGGAGATGGGTCTTACTGCTGCCTGTCTCCTTGAGGTGTCTAAGCAGCGTAAGAAGCTGCTGCTGCATGCAGCAGAAGGGGAAGGACAGCAGGCAGCTGCAGCAGCAGCAGCAGCAGCAGCTGTCTCCTCCTCATCTCCTATCTGGCTGCTGCTGTCTCCTTTTTGTCTCCTCATGAAGGAGACACTTGCTGCTCTCCCTGCTGCAGTTAATAACTGCATAACATGGGCATCTAGGGGGGTAGGGGGGGCCCTCTTGCTGCATGCAGGAGAGGGGGGCCCCAACCAGGAGACACAGCACAGGTGGCTTCTGCTAGGGGCCTCCCTGCAGTGTACATACACCTTATTAGTTATTGCTGCTGCTGCTGCATCTGCTATATGGGTAAGCTTAGGAGATGTTGCTGCTGCTGCTTAATGTGTCTCCTTTCCCTCCCTACATAAAGTGTCTCCGTTTTAGGGGCCCCTAAGGCGTCTCCTTCTTAGGGGCCCCTAAAATGTCCCCTTTTAAGGGGCCCCTAGGGTGTCTTCTTTTAAGGCTTTATTTAAGTTATTTGTCTCCTTACTAGGGGCCGGGGCCCCTAAAGTGTCCCCGTATTAGGGGCCCCTAAAGTGTCCCCGTATTAGGGGCCCCTAAAGTGTCTCCCTATTAGGGGCCCCTAAAGTGTCTCCGTATTAGGGGCCCCTAGGATGTCTCTTTTTGAGGGTATTTTAGGTTATTTGTCCCCTTTTTAGGGGCCCCTTAAGTGTCTCCTTTTAATGGGTAAGGGGCCCCCCAAGTGTCTCCTCTTGGGGGCCCCTATAGTGTCTCCTCTTAAGGGTATTTAAAGTGTCTCCTTTCTCTACATTTTTAGTGTATTGTGTCTCCTTACTGCAGCAGCAGCAAACTGCAGCAGCGAGGCAGCTGCAGCAGCAGCAGCAGAAAGCTGCAGCAGCAATAGCTGCCTCTCTGTCTGTTTTTCTTTGTTGTCTCTGCTGCACAGCAGAAGGAGACATTTAAATAAAGGAGACTGTCTCCTTTATTAATAAGACTAAATATTTCTTATTAATAGGGATTTACTTATAATTAAATAATAATAAATAAACATAAATAAATATATCAATAAATATAAATAAATATAAATAAATATAAATAAATATAAATAATATAATAAATTATAATATAAATAATAATATTAAAATATTTTGTCAATTGGTGTGTCCCTAAGGAGACACTAAAGAGAGACAAAAGGAGACAGCAGCAAGGACAGCATTTGCTGCTGCTGCTGCTGCTGCTGTTGCTGCTGCTGTTGCTGTTGCTGCTGCTGCTGCTCTTTGCTGCTGCATTAATTCCTCGGGTGTCTCTGCTCCCCGTGCTGCGCAAAGAGAGCATTACGTGGCTGTGGGGTGCTGCCATCAGCAGCAGCAGCAGCAGCAGCAGCTCCTGCTGCTCCTGCTGCTGATCCTGCGGCTGATCCGGCTACTGCTCCTGATGCTCCTGCTGCTGCTGCTCCTGTTGCTCCTCCTGCTGCTGCAGCAGGAGGAGGAGGCACAACAGCAGACACAGGAGCAGGCACAGGAGGCTTCTTAATCTTGTTGCTGCGTGAGTTAGATCCTTTGCTGCTGCTGTTGCTGTTGCTGCTGCTGCTGTGGCCATCAGCAGCATCAGCAGTGCGCTGCCTCTTCCTTTCCTCTTCTGCTGCTGCATTGCTACCTTCTCTCTTGCTCTGCCAGCTGCTGCTGTTGCTGCTGTTGTTGCTGCTGCTATTTGTTGAGGGGCCTTCGTTCCCTCCCTGCAGCAAAAACAATAAGACAATGGGCCCCCCCATAAGACAGCACAAGACAGCAGCAGCAGCAGCAGCAGCAGCAGCAGCCGCGGGAAGCAGCAGCAGCAGCTACTGGTGAAAAGGAGGGGGCAATCGATAACTTACGTGCGCGCGACTTATGCCGCTGCTGTTGCTGCTGTTGCTGCTGCTGTTGCTGCTGTTGCTGGCAGCAGCAGATGGGGGGAAGTTGGATTGTTGATTATGTCCACCAGCAGCAGCAGAGACAGGAGGAGGAGGAGGAGGCGGGGGAGCAGCAGCAGCAGCAGCAGGACCTCCTTTGCTGCTGACGCCGCGAGGTGCCACTATAGGCGGAGGTGCCTTAGGAGCTGCCCGTGGCTTCCCTGTGTTGCTGCTGCTGCTGCTGTTGCTGCTGCTGTTGCTGCTGCTGCTGCGCGAAGCAGATGATGTCTGCGTGTGCGTACGCTGGCGATTTCCGTCTCTGCTATTGCTGCTGCTGCTGTTGCTGCTATTGCTGCTGCTGCTATTGCTGCTGCTGCTGCTGTTGCTGCTGCCCGATGACAGCCTGCTGTCGCTGCTGCTGCCACCGCGAGAATTTAAATCTGTGTGGCTGCTTCTTAAGGGTGCAGTTCTGCTGCTAGCAGCAGAGTTGTCTGCCTCCCTCGTGCTGCTGCTGCTGCTGCTGCTGCTGTTGCTGTTGCTGCTACTGCTGCTCCGGTGCTGCTGCTGCCTGTTGCTGCTAGACGCATCCCTGTTGCTGCTGCTGTTGCCGCTGCTGCTAGAGGAGCTACTTCGGTTCCTTGAAGCGTGACTCCCGTCTGGACCATGGGTCCTCCCGCTGCTGCTGCTGCTGCTGCTGCTGTTTGCTGCTGGTCCGCTGCTGCTGCCTGAGTTGCCTGCAGCACCACCACCGCCACCTCTGCTGCTGCTGCGGCTGCCGCTGTCTTGCTGCCGACGCCCACTGTCAGCAGTCTTAGACCCGCCGCCACCATCACGATGTCGTGATGATGATCCCTCTGTCCTGCTGCTGCTGCTGCTGCTGTTGCTGCTGCTGCTGCTGGGTCCAGCACCGTGCATGCCAAAGGACGTGCCGCGAGATCCTCCAACTGTCCCCTCATTTGGGCGACCAGGCCTTGGAGACGTCCCGCTACTGCTGCTGCTGCTGCTGGATTTGCTGCTGCCGCTGCTTGGCCTGCTGCTGCTGCTGCTGCTGCTGCTGTGACCGCCTTTGCTGCTGCTGCTGTTGCTGCTGCTGCTCTGCTGCGGTGATGGCCCTGTAGCAAGACCCGCCATGCGTGCCTTCATTAAGGAGACAGCCTCAGGGCCAAGCGGACTACGCCGCACAGGGACAGCAGCAGCAGGTGCAGCAGGAGCAGCACCTGCTGCAGCAGAAGATGTTGGCGCTCCTCCACTAGGAGCAGCAGCAGGTGCTGCAGGTGCAGCAGAGGATGCAGCAGGTGCTGCAGGTGCACCACCACCAGGACGTCCCTGGCCTTTAAAACTGCTGCTGCTGCTGCTGCTGCTGCTGCCGCTGCTGCTGCTCGTGGAGGTGTCTGCTGCTTGAGGTGCTGCTGCTGTTGTTGCTGCTGCTCCTCCTCCTCCTGCTGCTCCTCCTGTTGCAGTTGTTGCTGCATCCGTCTTCGGCTGCAAGACAAAACACAAGTACGTACCAACTTCCTATTTGCTGCTGCTGCTGCCTCCTGTCTCCTTCTTCTGTCTCCTTTTCTGTCTCCTTCTTTGTCTCCTTCTTCTGTCTCCTTCTTCTGACTGTCTCCCTTATTTAATTGTGCCCTCTATTAACTGTCTCCTCTATTAAGCGTCTCCTTTATTAATTGTCCCCTATATCTAACTGTCTCCTTAATTAGGTGTCTCCTTTATTAGGTGTCTCCTTAATTAGGTGTCTCCTTAATTAGGTGTCTCCTTTATTAGGTGTCTCCTTTATTAGGTTTATTATGTGTCTCCTTAATTAGGTGTCTCCTTTATTAGGTGTCTCCTTTATTAGGTGTTTTTTTTTATTAATTGTCTCCTTTTTTTTCTTACTCGCTTAGCTTGTGGTTCTCCTGTTAGTCCTGTTAGTGCATTCTTTGCTCTGCTGCTAAAAGGAGACACCCCAAGAATAGATGGTTGCTGCTGTCCTCTTGGTGTGTCTGTTGTCCTGCTGCTGCTGCTGCTGCTGCTGCTGTTGTTGTTGTCGTGTTGCTGCTGCTGCGCAGGTGTTCTATCCTTTGCTGCACCCCCTGCAGCAGACTGTGACTGCATGTACGAGCTTGGCTTTGCTTTGTCCTCATTTGCTGCTGCTGCACCTGCTGCTGCACCTGTTCCTGTTCCTGCTCCTCCTCCTCCTGTTCCTGCTGCTGTTCCTGCAGCAGCAGCAGCAGCAGGCTGCGGCTCTAGCCACCGTCCCTCTCTCTGATGTTTAGCAAGAAGCTTAAGAATGCTACTAGCAGATAAGGAGACATCCTTCCATCCCCATGCCTGCAGCAAACAGCAGCACAGCAGCAAACAGCAGCAAACAGCAGCAAACACAAATAACTGTCTCCTTATAGCTAATAAGGAGAATGGCTAGCTAGCTAGCTAACTAGCTAGCTGGGTAGGAAAATGGCAACCTATATAGCTACGTAACTAGCACGAAAACCAGATAAATATATATGCACTCTCAGCAGCAGCAGCAGCAGCAGCAACAGCAGCAGCAGCAGCAGCAGCAATCCGTACCTGTGCAGCAGCAAGTGCATCCTCAAGTCTTTTTATAAGCTCAACTCCTCTTTTATAAGTAAGAGGGAAGCTGTAGTGACACCTGGATAAGAATACAACTGCTGCCTTGGCACTTAACCAAGCAGAAGGGTTTGGAGGTGCAGCAGCAGCAGCAGCAGCAGTAGGTAGACCTAATAGGATACACACACATTACACAAACCCTAAACCCTAAACCCTAAACCCTAAATCGTATAACATACCGTCAACCACAAACACAAAAGAATAAAAAAGAAAAAAGCCAAAAAAAACAAGAAAATAATACCATAAACCCTAAACCCTCATAAACCCTAAACCCTAAACCCTCATAAACCCTAAACCCTAAACCCTAGACCCTAGACCCTAGACCCTAATTATTTATTTCTTACTTTGTGTGAGCCCATCAAGTATCCTAGCTTCCCATTTTTTTGCTCCTTTAATAAGATGTGAATGATTAGCAAAGTTATGATTAAATTTATAAGATAAACAAAAACAAATATTTCCTTGTGTCTCCTTTTTATATAAATCTTTGTCCCCTAACCATTTCCTTAATGGAGACATTATCTCCTCAACAAATAAACCTAACATTTGTGCTTCTCTTTCTGTACTACTCCTATACAAACAACAAATACAACAAAAATACAACAAATACATATATTTATGTATATCTTTCTTCTGCTGCTGCAGCAACAGCAGCAGCAGCACCAGCAGCTGCTGCAGCTGCTGTTGCTGCTGCTGCTGTTGCTGCAGTAACTGCACGACGACCCTATAAGGTATAAAACCAGCTAAAGAACCGTTGCACCCCCCCCAAAAAAAGCTAGCTGCAATTGCATGTGATGGAGCAGCATCATCATCTGCTGCATATACATGAATTATATATTATATATATATAAATAAAAATAAAAATAAAAATATATAAATATAAATACATACCTAAGTAATGGTACAAGCATTCTAGTCCATATATTCATAAAATCAAAAAAATTAAATAAATAAATTTGAAGACGAAGAATTAAAAAAATAAATTTTGCACAAAAAAGAGAATCTGATTCAGATGTAATTACACGTTTCGAAATCATATTCTTTATTAACCATCTTATTATATATGGACCACGACGAGGCTGTACTACTAGTACTCCTCCTCCTGTTGCTGCTGTTGCTGCTGTTCCTGCTGCTGTTGCTGCTGCTGTTGCTGCTGATGGTGGTGCTGATGCTGATGGTGATGATGATGATGATGATGATGATGATGATAGTTGTGGAGTTTGGGGTTCTTTTGATTCTTTTTTCGTGTCAGTAGTTACACGTTGGCTGCTGCTGCTGTTGTTGCTGCTGCTGTTGCTGCTGTTGCTGCTGCTGCTGCTGTTGTTATCTTCTGCTGTACTGCTGCGGCGGCTTAATGATAGCACAGATGATGCACTATCGGAATCACAACTATCTGTATGCATTTGCTGCTGTTCCTGCTGCTGTTGCTGCTGCTGCTGCTGCTGCTGCTGTTGCTGCTGCTGCTGCTGCTGTGTTGGTGGATCCTGTAACTGTAACCATGTACGACTAGCATCTTGTAATGCAGCAAATACTGTCTCCTGTCTCTGTTTATGTGTTATATATTCTTGCTCAATTATTTTTTTATGTTGTTTTAGTCTTATTCGTCTCCTTCGTAACATTTCTTCTTCCTTACGACTATAATCTGCTGCTCCTGCTGCTGTCATTGCTGCTGTTGGCTCCCTGCTGCTGCTGCTACTACTGCTGCTGCTACTCATGTTCCTACGATAACGTTCTATGTCTTCTATAGCACGCTGGGTCTGCAAACACATACACAGACACACCAATTGCTGCTGCTGCAACTGTTGCTGCTGCTGCAACTGCTGCGACTGCTGTTGCTGCTGCTGCTGCTGCAGCAACGTCAATAAAATCATAGGGTTCAGGGTTTAGTGTTCCTAGGGTTTATACTTTACCATTCCTAGGGTTTAGTGTTTAGGGTTTATAGTTTCTATAATTTATAATAATTAGGGTTTATTAGGGTTAATTAGGGTTTATAATAGTGAATTAGGGTTTATTAGGGTTTAGGGTTTAGGGTTTATTAGGGTTTAGGGTTTATTAGGGTTTAGGGTTGTATATACATCATTAATAGTATTTTGTATCCTTGTAATAGCATTAAGATATTGTTGATGAGGAACAAGAATATCCTCAAGAGAAAGTCGCCAAAAAAGAAGCAAAAAAGATACAGATACACCTCCTTCTTTTTGCTGCTGCTGTGGATCTATACCTGCATGCACTAAATAGGGCTGCATGCATTCAGACCAATTCTCTGCAGTAAGGATACACGCAGACACATACATACAGATAATAAATAATTAATATACCTCCTGCTGCTGCTGCTGCTGCTGTTGCTGTTGCTGTTGCTGTTGATGCTGCTGCTGCTGACGCACCTGCGAATACAGGTTCGAAGGAGTTAGCTGTGGAGACACCGCAGCAAGAAGGACTAAGTTCTCCTTCTTCTGTAGGAGCAGGAGGAACAATAGGTCCTAGTATTGTTGATGCTGCTTGTGCTGCAGCTGCTGCTGCAATTTCTGCTACTGTTCCTGTTGCTGCAGTTGCTGCAGTTGCTGCTGCTGTTGCTGCTGTATTCTTGGATACAGGAGAAGCAGCAGGTTTAATTTGTGGTGAATTATCATCAACTTGCATCATACTTGTTTTATTATTATTGCCTCCTCCTCCTCCTCCTCCTCCCTTACTGCTGCTGCTGCTGCTGCTGCTGCTGTTGCTGCTGCTGCTGCTGCTGTTGCTGGATGGCTTAAGGAAATCAGGTAATGCAGGTCGTAAGAAGTTCCATGCAACAGCAGGAGGAAGAAAAGAAAAGAGTAAATAAGGAGAAGGAAGAATAGATTTATATTTATATTTATTTAATGATCTTTTTAGGTATTCAATGAATTGTAGATGATAAAGATGTAGATCATCAGCAGCAGCAGCAAATGCATGCATTTGCTGCAGATAATCTGAATCATATAGTACCTCTATTCTTATTTTTGCGGGTATAAATAAAAAAGGGAATAATAAACGTTTATCCCCTAATAATTCATCTATTAATAATCTATTACATGAATCATTAATAACACCAACTGTCTCCTCATCTATACCCACCATCATTACCTCTGTCTTTAATACAGGACCTCCTGCCTGCAGCAGCAGCAGCAGCAGCAGCAGCAGGAGATGCAGCAGGAACAGCAGCAGATGCAGTAGCAGCAGCAGATGCAGTAGCAGGAGATGCAATACCACCACATGCACCAGCAGCAATAGATGCAGCAGCAGCAGAGGATACAATAGCAGGAGATGCAGCAGCAGTAGCAGCAGGAGATGCAGCAGCAGCAGCAGACGATGCAGCAGAAGGAGACAATTATAATAAGGATAAACAAGGAGACAGTTATATAAATAGGGAGAAGAGGAAGGAAAAAAGAAAAAAAAAAAAGAGACACTAAGGAGACAGTTTAATAGCTCTCTCTCTCTCTCCCTCTCCTTGTGTACCAAAAGGAGAATAAAATAAATAAATAAATAAATAAATAAAAATAAATAAATAAATAAATAAATATACTTACTTGTGCATATATTTGATCAAGAGTAAGGGCCCCTGCCTCTGGTAAGGGAGGACAAGAGCCAACAATTTCTATTAATTTTTGTAGGTATTCTTTGTCCCTTATATACCCAAATAAGGCATTAGGGTATTTAATATTTTTTCCTGCTATTATTACCATCTTATCCTCCTCATTCTCCTCTTCTTCCTCATACCCTTTATCCCCTTCTTGCTGCTCCTCCTGCTCCTCCTGCTGCTGCTGCTGCTGCTGCTGCTGCTGCTGCTGCTGCTTACTGAATTTTTTTACGTCTTTCTCGTGTAATTCATACCACATACGTGTTAATGTTGATATTAATAAAGGGCGAATATCTGCCTCCTTATGCCTGCATAATAATAAATAAATAAATAAATAAATAAATAAATTAATTAATTAATTAATTAATTAATTTGTATAATAGGTATATTATAGTACTACTAATAAGAATAATAAATAGGACGTAAATATGTCTCCTTATTACTCCATAATATACACAAGGAGACAGTAAAAAGGAGACAATAAAAAGGAGGCAATAAAAAGGAGACAAAAAAAAGGAGACAAAAGAAAAGGAGACACTATAAAAGAGACAATAAAAAGGAGACAAAAAAAGGAGGCAATAAAAAAGAGACAAAAAAAAGGAGACACTATAAAAGAGACAATAAAAAGGAGACAAAAGAAAAGGAGACAAAACAAAAGGGGAGAATAAAATGGAGACAATAAAGGGGCGAGTGTATAATATACAATTTAAAGAAATGTCCAGCCATGGATGCCCTATTAAGGAGACGCCTAGACACCGCAATACCGTCTCCTTCTACCCCACTGTCTTTTCTTTGTAGCTGTCTCTGAACAAATCGAGACACTAATACATCAGCAGCAACAGAGGAGACACTTCTTGTTGCTTCTGTTAATGTTTGTACCTATATAATAATATACAAAAAAAAAAAAAAAAAAAAAAAA